TGGATCACTTATTTTGTATATTTGTGTCAGTTATAATTAATGCAAATGAGTTTTACATCACTTATATAAGTAACTCTCGAAGTGGTGATGCAAATTATTTGCATCAATTACTTTAGTCGATGTTAATATGCATTAGCTGAAAAAAATGATGTTAGTTTCCATCAATTGATATAAATTATGTTAGTATTTGCACTAATTTATCAAACTAACGTTAATATTTACAACTGTTGAAATAAATGATGTTAAGTGTTATAGATAACTGATGTTAAAATTAATAAAATAATATTAAATTATTTTTAAGAAACAAATATTATATACTTTTTATTAATTAATATTTAAGTAAACGATTAACTTTATTTGAGATAATAGTTGCTTATTAAGAAGCTCTACACCTTTTGTTACCATCAAAAACCAAGGTCACTATATATACGAAAATTATTTAGCCTCTTTTTGCAGCGGAAGCAATGTTGAACGAGACAAATTGAATAAACAATTACATCACTTTTTAATGCTTAAAGTTTAATTAACATCGGTTGTTATTGATTTAAATTTTGTATCATTTTCTAAATTATGTAAATTCATATATTTGTATCAATATTGTGAAAGTGATCATGCAAATGGATCTAGATTTGCATTAATTTTAACGAACTGATGCCCACACAAATCAATATTATGACTAGGGGTGTCAAAATGGGTCAAGATTCATGGGTCAATCCAACTCAACTCAACCCATGAACCCTAATGAGTTGAAAATTTTGACTCAAATGAGTTGATGAATCAAATGAGATATTGAGTCAAATGGGTTGATGAATCAAATGAGCTGGGTTGTAATGGGTCAATGGTTTACCCATTTAACCCATCAATTTTTGTTAAATTGAATCAAACCAATTCAAATCTCTAAACCGATTTTAATTTGAGTCTAACCAAAAAATTATAAACCGATTGAATATAGTCCTTAATTTTCCCGCCAAAAATGTGAATACACAATTTTCCCCATCAAAATATAAATTCGTGATTTTCCCGCCAAAAACGTAAATCCGCAGTTTTCCCGCCAAAAACGTAAATCATTGATTTTCCCGCCAAAAAAATTTATAATTTTTAACAAAAAACGAAAATATGTAATTTTCCCGCCAAAACGTAAATCCGTGATTTTCCCGCCAATTTTTTTAATAATTTTTAACCAAAAATGAGAATGTAAAATTTTCAAGCCAAAAACGTAAATCCGTGATTTTCCCGCCAAAAACGTAAATCCGTGATTTTCCCGCCAAAAACGTAAATACGTGATTTTCCCGCCAAAATTTTTTATAATTTTTAACCAAAAATGAGAATGTAAAATTTTCCCGCCAAAAACATAAATCTGTGATTTTCCCGCTAAAAACATAAATCCATGATTTTCCCGCCAAATTTTTTTATAATTTTTAACCAAAAATGAGAATGTAAAATTTTCCCGCCAAAAACGTAAATTCATAATTTTCCCGCTAAAAACGTAAATCCGTGATTTTTCCGCCAAATAATAGTGATGTTGATGATGATTATTATTATTATTATTATTATTATTATTATTATTATTATATTTTAATTATTAATTTATTTATTACATTAATATTTAATGGGTCAACCCATTTAACCTTCTAACCCATCAAATTTAATGAGTTCATCAAATTAAAAGGATTCATGGGTTGACTCAACTCATTTAGCCAAATGAGTTGAGTCAACCCATGAACTCATTTAACTCTAAACTCATTGGGTAATGAGTTGAGTTGAGTTGAGTTAACCATTTCGACACTCCTAATTATGACATTGATTATTGCTATTGGATGTTAGCTTAAAATTTCTGCATCAATTATAAATAAGTAATCCAAACTAGTATCAGTTAGTTTTCTGATGTATATTATTAATTTAAGCAACTGACCCTTTTTTGTAGTTCTATATTTCAATGTTGAATTCTGTGGACTATAAAAAAACATATTATGCTTATTTCAATGTTGAAAAATTATTTAGTTTTCATGTGGTAAATTAAAGGTTTAGTTTCTTAAAAAATATCACATTGGAGATTCAAATCTTTGACAAGACAAAAAATAAGGTATAAGTGGTTTAAGAAACAGGACCACATAAAAGTGAAATAATCTTTATTCCCAAAGGCATCTCGAAAAAAAAAGACTTCAAATTTATTTATGTTAAATGGGAAATTTCTAGATAATATGATACGTAAACAGAGTATTTAATAAAATATAGTTGAATATAGGCTTTGACAAATAAAACTAATTGTTTTGTTAATAAATACAAATTTATTAGCTTTTGAATACCAAGGTCCACAACTAATATTTTTCGTTACATCAATAGTTTCTGAGATTTTGTATTATTATAAATATAATTTATTTAATGTACCAGAGAAATAGTAAAGTACAGTTTAAATGAATTTTATTATATATAATATTCTATTATGTATAATAATGTGGTCCTCTAATTGATTTTTCAACTAGGGGATGTTATCAAGATAATGCTCATAGGTTCTTTTGTATTTTTTTTTATACTACAATAATTTTATTTAGCATACAAAAGGAGTGGGAAAAAGATACACACAATTTGGTCTTTTGATTCTCCAAATCTCAACTTTCTAATTAGAATAATCATTTCCAGTTTATGCTATCCCACTTCATGCATAACTTCGTTTTTCATTTTCTACGTCTAAAGTACTGTTGCAAGACTTACTTAATTATCATGTGGTACAAATTTGAAGACAAAAACCAATAGCTTTTTAGCTATATTATCTGGATGGTGCTATAAAAAAGTCGACCAAAATTTTCCATTTTTCTTTTTAATCTACCACCACTCTAAAATTGTTAAAACATCGACGATATATAACAATGTAAAATTGCAGGGAAAAAATAATCGAGAATAGATGAAAAATACAATAAGCAGGTGAATTAATTTTTTCTTAAATGTACGTTGATCAATATGATTAGAACAACTTTGTTGCATCTAAAAATCATTTCTAAATTCCAAATTAAAATTTTAGGAAATTAGCTCGATCTTTGTAATTTATTTATATATTATTCCAAAATTTTCAGAAAACTTAAATAGAATACAATAAAATAAAATAAAAGGTACCATTTTTGTTAGCAATATTTTTTTTTTGGTCGGTTTTGTTAGCAATAGTTACGTCAGGACAAATTCAAATTAGTAAGTGGTGCACTGTGCACATGGTATATGGCAGTTAGGGCCATAACCTCAGCTTGTGTTAAAGTTTGTCCCCACCACGAAAAAGAGATTTGTGACTTCACGAAATTGTAAAATAATAGCAAATAGTTTTTATCTGATTTTAGTATAATTAATTTAACAAAACCCGTTTGGTGATAACGCAATATTATTCTCTTTCCCTTCTTATTATCTAACACTATTGTTTTTTGTGTCAAAGTTCTTATTATATAACACTATCGTTAAATAAATGGTTTGATTTTGGGTCTTGGACACCAGATTACTTCTTAACAAAAACCAATTTTGGATCTCGGATACCAGATTTGTTCGTCGTCGTGGTACACTTATTCGAAGTTGAGGTTTTCTTCACATCTCGTAAGCTTAATAAATTGGTGTTTTATCGCCTTTTTTTTTTATTTGCTTAAAATTTGTAACCCTTTTGTGGTATTTGTTGAATCATTTCTCCATTATCGAGGAGTAGAATTTATCTATAAAATTTAGTAACTTTGAACAAAAAATATTGGTTTGATTTAGATTTAGTTGTATTGTAAATAAAATTTAAAAATCTAACTCTACACAACATATAAAACAAAGCCGGAACAATGTTTAACTTTGTAACAACTAACAAGGATGTTATGACATATAATTCGATCTACATTGAACTTGTTGAAGACAATTTATATATTTAAATATATATATTTATCACGACGTACGGGCTTTATCTATATCATTATCGTAAATCTCTAAACAATTTTTATTCATAAAGATGAAATAAACTTATTTTGTGTGAGTTGATCCTTAGACATAGCATAGAAATGCTAAATAATTTTTATACTTTCACTTAATATTCTATCTAATTACAGTTTTATTAATATTTTATGTTTGGTAAGCCGACATTTGTTAATCACGACTAGTATCTAATTGTCTTAATCCTATCGCATAATCACGGCTGCATCTCTACGTTTCCCAATTAGAAAGTTATTTAAATTATTCGTAAAGTTAATGATTAGTTCCACGCCCTAAATTAACCCTATATAGATCCTTTTTTTTTTTTTTCATTAATAGTTAGATCCCAATTATATAATATATGCTAATTTGAAGTTTGTACTTTAAGAATAATAATGAACACTTTGATGAGCATATATACCAAAAACGGATAGTGGGAATGTAAGGATGAGAAAGAAATGGATTAATGAGGAAATTAAAATGAATTAATCCGATGAATCTTTGGTTAATCAGACACCAATAAACAAAAGATAACTAATCATTGGAAAAATATAATATTAGAATAATTATATAAAATAAAAACCTGTCTCTTTTCTCAAAGAATAAAGAGAGATTTACGAAAAGGACACCTAGATCTTAGTTTGATCGCATATTAAATTAAGCGACAAAGTACTCTTCAAGATAAGAAACCAAACCATATTATTAAATAGTTAATTAAATTGCAATAGTTTATATACTTTTGGGAAAACTCGCATTTTAGGGTTCGTTTGTTTACCAAAAATTGACCTATAGTGTTGTGACTAATTCGGGTGATTAGTTTATAGAATTTTCCATTAGTGGAAAATATTATGAAACCTTTCGGAACGTTACATTATATTAAAAGACAAAATACTTTTAAGATAAGAAGCCAAAAACATATTTATTAAAAATATTGCACTAAGTTATTAAATTTTCCTCATTAGAGGTTCATTAAATTTACCAAAATTGACTTATTAAAACATAATCGAATGAATCTTATTGCAGTGACTAATTCGAGTAATTTGCTGATATAAACTTACATCAATTGGAAAATTAAATAAAAAAACTCTCGGAACGTAATATTATTACCTCCTTTTAAGACAACGTCGTGGTAATGAAATTATAACAAAAATAAAAATAAAAAAGGAGCTAAAAGAGTTTTAATTAATATTAATAAAAACGTATTAACGATAATAATACCAGTGCTTACTCTCTATGATCTAAAAGCTAAAACAAAAGCTTAAGCTTCCATTATTACTCTTTCCCTGCAAAACGACAAGATGTTTCCTTCTTCACGACGAAGACGACGAGGCGTTTACGTTTCCGCCACTATCACTCTCAAATCTCCCACCACCACCACCACCGTCTTTGTTAGCTAAACCGCTTCCACCGCGAACTCCATCATTGTTATTGTTCTCTCCGCCGATACCGTTAACGGCGGTGGCACCTCCGCCGGAGAATTTGAAGGAGTTTTTGTTATTATGCATCCAAACTTTGAGAACACCTTTATCAACTCCGATCTCACGGCAAAAATCACGAACCTCGTCCTCGTCGCGTTTCTGAATCTTCCATCCGATTCGAGCGGCGAATTCATGCATCTTCTCTTTCTGATTTGAGCTAAACTTTGTCCTGAATCGCTTCCGTGAGCCAGGCGCGGCGGAGAGATTGTTGGCCGCGGCGGCGAAGTTTAGATCTGAGAACGGTGTGGTTTTATTGTTACCGGAGAGAGCTAAAAGCATGTAGGAGGAGGAGATTGGTGGCGGAGAAGATGAACTAGGACTACGAGGAAGCGGAGGAGCTAGTGGAGGAGGAGGGTGGTGACGGTGATGAGGTTGATACTCAATTGCGGCGGTTGTGGTTGAAGATGGAAGAAGAGACGGTGGTGGAACGGAGGAGGAGTCGTCAGGTTCACGGCGGTGAAAGTTACGGTGACAACCACAAGCTGCACACTTGAGAGAAGTTGGATCGGAAGGTGTTGAAGAAGGAGACGGCATGAATTCTCCGCAACCGTCAAGCGCGTGACCACCAATCGCCGCCGCGTAGTTCTTGAGACATTCTTTGTAAGTGACGGTGTTGTGGTGGTGGTGGTGGTGGCGTTTGATGATTCCGTTACTGAAAGAGATTGGTTTAGCTGGTTGGATCCGGGTCGGAGTTTCGGATTCGGGTTCTGGTGATTTAGGAGTCATATCCATTGATCTAACTTCAAGCATCTCTATGACTTATGTTTTTTATTTTCTTGAAAAAAATCAAGAAAATATTAGGGTTTATGTTAAGCTTAACAAGAAAAAGAAATTGAGATTGAGAAATGAAGAAGAAAATGGATAAAAAGAGATTAATCAACTTTTGGAGATCATATTTTTGTAATAAGGTTTAAGAAAATAAACTTTAGAGGAAGAAGATGTGTTATAAGATGATAGTGAATCTGGTTGATGAATGTTGCTAAGAGAGAATAAGATAATTTAATAGGGAGAGATATAAAAAATATTAATAAATGTGAATAATAAATTTATTAAAAATAAAAGGACAGAGCTTGAAGATGTTTAACAGAGAAAGGTAGGGTTTGATGATTTAACTATGGTTAAATGTATGGTTAAAAGTGGGACCTATATAGGGAGTGGGGAAATACATATAGAGTAATAAATGTCTTAAACCTAAAGACAGTCCAATTATAATTAATATTCTCATGCATTGTGACACTTCTTGTTTTTGGTTTTTGTAACTTTTCCTGTTTTCTTTTAAATGAATATTTGTTCTTTCTGTTAAATTTTTTAGCATTTATTTATATTTGGATTGGATAATATACAAAGTAATTTATTAAACATTGTTTGGAAAGTTTTAAATTTAAATTTAAATTTGTAATATGTATATTCTTGTAAAACTGAAAAAATGAATAATTTAAAGAAATGATTGAATACAAAACTTAATTTTTTTTAACACACTACAAAAAAAAAAAATCCACATTGTTAGCATAATATAATAGCACGGTTTGCTGAACTCTTATTGAAGATAAATTGTAATTTTGGTTATTATATAATAGCGTTTGATTAACGCTAAGATTTAATTTTACTAAGCGGAATCACTTATTCCGCCAAATACTTAGCCAAAATTTTGACTTTTTTCCTTTAGAGTCAATTCCTCCCTTTCTCGAACAATCGTAAGACATAACTCTCTCAGACTTAATTCTCTCATACCAACGAATCGATTCTCCAGCCACCAATTAAACCTACTGTCGGCCGTCGTTGTCGTTAGAGGTAGATGTGACACTGAACCTGTCACCGGCACTAATTCCGCTCTAGATCTGTCGACATTGAGCTCAAATCAAAGGCACTAATTCTTGACTCAATTGATTCTTTTCTTCTTTTTCGTTACTCTGATTTTTTTTCCTTCGAGCTGTTGTGAATTTCGACAACATTTTTTGTGTGATTATTGTTTTATAAAGTTTAGATTGTGGGTTTATCTAATCCGATATTTCAAAGTTTGTCTCTTTTGCATGCATATGTTCTTTGCTTTCTTCAAGTTTGGAACAATTTTGCTTTTTAATTTGGGATGCAACCGTTCTCTAAACAAATCAGATATATTTTGGATCTGTTCTCTGAAATTTGGGATGCATTTGTTCTATTCATATTTTTTGTGTTGTCAAGTACATCTAATACAAAACTTATGTATGTCCATTTTTATGGAGTTTCTATAAACCAATCATAGATATACACCTTGTTTGAAAAATCGCTAGGCGCTAGTCGGGCGCTTGGTATGGGCCTAGCGATTAATAGAAAAATCGGATAAGATCGGGGATTAATCGGAGATTAGTTTTAGGGTTATTTTAATATTTTAAAAACATATTAATCCAATATTGCTTTCAAAATTGCAGTAAAACATATATAAAACTGTATTTTTAAGATAAATTATTATGATTTTTATTACAAATTTATGATTTTTACTAAAATTTGAACATAAATTATTGTAAAACATCACAAACTCCCAATTTAAATGATTGAATAACAAAAATAATCGGGATATGTAAAATTAGGCGGAGAGTAATCAGATCAGGCGGGAAGTAATCGAATTAGCTAGGCGGAGAGTAATCGGGTAACTGATTTCTTTATGAGATTAGTCATTAATCGAGGCGGATATAGTGGACATAGCGATTAAGCGGGGAGTAATCGGGATTGGCGGAGATTTTTAGAATGGGGATATACATAGCTTAAGTGACCAAGTAACCCACACATAACATTTGCTAACAATGAAACGAATCCAGAGCTAATATCAAATCTAATCTTTTTGGTTTAAAAGCCGAGACCAATATCACAATGTGCAGATTTCAACTATACATTTCTATGTTCTTAGGTCAAAGTTTAAACTAGGTTTCGGAGCTTGTATGAAACATCATATATGTTTTTTTATTTAAGATATCCAAATAGTGTACGATGATTAAAATCGTAGTACAAATCCTTTAACCACTAGAACCATGAATTAGTTAAATATAGACACATTAACTAAGGTAATTTTGAAAGTGTTTGAATTGTGGGAAATCTTATGTATGGCATGTTCAAGTTGGATTATGAAATCACAAATTATTACTAATTAACGAATGATTGCATCATTGGATTGAGAAATCCAACCTATCGGTAATCAAAAGCGAAACATATGATCCTTCTTTAACGTTTAATTTTATTAACTCTCAATCTGGTTGGCACACCGTCCATCAAACTTCAGTTAAGTGGTGTACGTGAGATATTATACCACATATCATGTCCGTTAATAACAATCTTCGTCTTATTCTTTTTTGTCACAAAAAATTTAAGCAACTATGTATGCATTTATGTGCATTTTGAATTTCGTACTACAAAAAATATTTCGGTACATGGATTAGATATACGTATTCGGTGCATAAAATATGTTTAATTATGGACATGGTGCCCGTAGGAGAATGAAATGTATGTTATTGTTGGGCTCTTGGGGACTACGACGTATTCGTTATTGTTTTTTTCTCTTTCGGAAAAATCACATTTTTAACTCTCAAAGTATCACTGGATATCACTTTAAACCTCGAAAGAATTCTACTAACAATATAAACCACCATAATAATTGTACTCACACTTTAAACCTTCAAACTAGCTTTCATGTTTGCACTGCCATAAAATATGATGAAACAATTGATTTTATGATGGGTTAATATACATTTATTTAATTTAATTTAAATTTTAAATAATTTTTATCATTTATTATGATTTTATACAATTATTAAGAAAAGTGCAAAAACTATATTCCTCCGATACGGATAATGCTTCGTTTTATGACTAAACTTCGACATTATTTGGTTTTTATTATTCTACTTAAGCTTCTTGTGTATCTCATATTCTACATTATTTTGTTTCTATTATTCTACTATAAACTTCTCTTGTTCTTAAGTCTATAGTTATAGAGGTTTAATTTTCAAATTTCATGGTCGAACGGTGAGTAAACAAAGAAGGCAAAGGTTTTTTTTTTTTTTTGTCGTTTTAGATATTTTATTAATTGTAATAAATAATAAAATTAATTTAAATTTAAATTAAATTAAAGAAATGTATATTAAACAAATGAAAATAATTTTTCCATCATTTTTTATGGCGAGACAAACAAAATAGCTAGTTTGGAGGCTTAAAGTGTTAGTAAAATTATTTTGGTGGTTTATAGTATTAGTAAAATTCTTTTGAGGTTTAAAGTGCTACCCAGTAACACTTTGAAGGTTAAAAATGTGTTTTTCCCTTTCGTTTTCTTATAAAGAATTGTTTTTTTTTTCCTTCCAAAGAGTGTTGGAATTAACCTCATTTTTCTTAGATCAAGCAGGACTCAGACTATCAGAACAAAAGATAAAACAATTTTTTTCTTTCTTAATTCTACTAGCTAGAACATGCATCTCCATTCACGGTGCTTTAAATCTTACTCTAAACTCTATATTTGGTATAAAACCTATTTTCAATAATGCTGTACATTTTACTTCAAAAAAAAAAAATAATGTTGCTCAAATTTTGAAGCACAACTTTTTTTCTTTACAAAATAATTTTTAGTTTTAATATATTATCATTTTATCCCTAAACAAAATTATAGCTGAATGTTATACTTATATAATTTTTTTTTAAAATCATAGTTACGAAATTTAGAGCAAAAAATAAAGAAGGTCTTAAGAAGCATAACCCAAATAATTGATTACGATGATTTCACATATGGAGAGTTGATCAATATTGTTCAACCAAAAAGACTTTATAAGGTCTGCCAAGTGCCAAGACGTAAAATTCCAAAAGCATCTTAAAATGGAACTCAAAAGACTAAAACTAGAATTATGTTCTTGTTGTAAACAATTCGAAAATAGATCCCAACCGAGTTAGTAATTCTTGTATATGATGAGATTGCAGTAAATTCTACTACTTGAAAAACAAGCTTATGAAATACTTTTAAGGGGTTTTTAGTAAAATAAACACTTTTCTAAAAGTAGACACTTTTCTAAAAGTTATTTGAGAAGTAGGTAGTTTTTTTAGAAATATGAGGAATAGACACTTTTTTTGCTTTTGTGAGATAGAAGATATGTGTAATAGAGTAAATGACAAAACAAGTGTCAAATACAATTTTACCCTTTGTGTTGTGAGAAAGAACTTTTGATGTGGGTCCAAATTTTTAGGAATAATAGATCAAATACTATTTTTTAGGAATAATGAATAAAATTATTTTTTTATTTTCTTTAATTTGTATATTTTTCTATCACAAACATTATAAATAACATTTTGTATACTACTGTTTGTACACCCGTTTGTACACTAATGTTTGTACACCCGTAATTTACACTAATGTTTGTACACTATTCAATTGAAGTAATGTTTGTACATTCATACGTAATGTACACTAATGTTTGTACATCGTTTGTACACTATTCAATTGAAGTAATGTTTGTAAATTCATACGTAATTTACACTAATGTTTGTACACCTGTTTGTACACTAATTGTTGTACACCTGTTTGTACACTAATCTCGTACACTATCATTTTTTACATTAACACTTAACAAAAATGGTTCTCTCATTCTAGACGTGGTGTACAAAATATGTGAAAGTGTACGATGTTGTAGACAGTGCAGAAGGTGGTGTATGGTGAGATCTATTATCTCATCGTTTCATGTACACCATTAATATCATGTACACCATACATCGTATTATATAGTTGTACACTATTATAGATTGTAGTTTGTACAATGTCATATCCAGTATATCAACTCTTACATCATGTGAGTATCATAAATTAATTTTTACATTATCGTAGTACACTACCGTTTGTACACTATCTTTACATTATCACGTACACCGTCGGGTTGAGATTAAATATAAAAATTGTTATGTATTCGAAAAATATAGCAAAATTGGACTTTTTAGATTCATAAAAAAAAATTAAAGATTAATATGTTATTGTGGTAATTTTTTTTTAATGAAGAATTTTTATCAAAACAAAGTGAAATTATTTAAGTGAAAGAAAA